CCTGGATAAGTATTCCCAGCTTCTGGATTCAGGAACTGTGGGAACTGGAAAGCTATAATATATTTTAGTCTTTATTTATTATATAATAATTAAACTTCTAAGCAGCTGAATTAAGAATAAAACTTGTGATGCGTCACCGTGTTTCAGGATTAGTCAATGAGGGGAAACTTTCATACGGTTTTTACGGTTTGTGAAGAGAACATAAACATCTATGATTGAAAGAACTTTTTATTTTCCTTGTGGATGAGAAGGAAAAACTATCTGAGCAGTCTGTGTGATTTTTCTCTATGAATCTTTTCAACCAGGCACCAAACTGGACAGCTCAGGAGTGGCGTTCGCCGTGGTGGCGGCCTGTCAGGTGCTGGGGCTGAAGGATGTCCACCTGGCGCTGTCTGAAGACCACGCCTGGGTCATATTCGGGAAAAACGGGGAGGAGACGGCCGAGGTCACCTGGCACGGGAAGGGCAACGAGGACCGCCGCGGGCAGACGGTCGCCGCCGGCGTCAACGAGAAGGTGGGCTCTGCAGCCGCCGCTCCTTTTTAAATTTTATTATTGTAAGGAATTCTTTTGCTTTCTTTATTTATTTATTTTATCTAATTTATTGGGGGGTTTTATTAAAAAAAATAAAAATTAAACAACTGCTGAAGCAACTCGTTAACTCTGCTAGACTCAATGAGTTCATTCGGTGGTTTTAATTGGCTCTGCTGGAGCAGGGACAGACCATCTTAAGGACCAGGGGTGCAGAACCTCGTTTTATGGGGATATTTGTTAAAGCTCGTCGTTTCCAACTTAACGAGGGGCGGATCTGGAAAAATAAGTGTTGCACCGATTGGTGGATCGGCCCCGATTTCCTTAATTTGGACATTTTTGCCGATAAGTTTCTGGTCTGACCTGATCAGATCGCTGACAGTAAGAAAAACTAAAGATTGATAATGGAGCCATGTTCTTATACCTACTTTATTATAAATATTAGTTGTGGTTAAACTGCAATGGGTGCACCAGCTATAAAAACATCCCTGCTTCCATTTTAATGTAGAAATCCACAGCAGTTAATAGCTTTTAGAGGGATGAAGGGTGAAGGAATAACTGCTGCCTCTGCTCCTCTCAGAGCTGGCTCTACCTGAAGGGCTCCTACATGAAGTGTGACAGAAACATGGAGGTGGCCTTCATGGTCTGCGCCATCAACCCTTCCCTGGATCTACACACCGACAGCCTGGAGCTGCTGCAGCTACAGCAGGTGAGCGCCTCCACCTCTAACCCGCAGTACGCCATGTTTGCTGTGATCCACACTGGAAACCTCAGAAAAGGCAGGATTAGATGATTCTTCAGAGACAAGAACCTTTTTTTGGTTCCTGGCGGTTTTAGCTGCACTTTTCTCCAACTACAGCAGATTGGAGCCAAAGTTTGTTACTAGGTTTCATAGATTGGTTAAAATCAACCAGACCAGCTCTGCACTAAGTCCTCTACTTCCTGGCAGATTGATGACCGCCATCAGACCAAGAAAAGCGCTTTTGGAGACTTTGGCCCAGTCCACACGAAGTCAAAACAAACACAAAACGCTAATATTTTCCAGAACG